GTTGAAAGAAAGAGACAGTAGACATATCTCTGTTCTCTTCTACCGCCCGAAGACGGCCGAAGCGTCGAGCGCACACGTACACGGCTGCTTGCCTGTGTGCGTATCCCCTCCACTTGCTGTAGCGTGCTGTAAGAGAGTCAAAACTGGGCACACTGGTCCCGACTGCCGAAATCGCTCGGCTTTTATACCCCGGAGCGGCCTATGGTCCGTCCGGGGTCGGTGTGCGGTATGCGGTTGTTTGTGCGTTGTATCACGCACCTGTTCCGTGTCGCACAGATCTTCTCCGGTTCACGTGCGATCTTATCTGCTATATTTCCGCGGCTTGACTTATAGACCGTTACGCGGAACTATCGCTTGACGCGTGGAACGGTCGGAACTATACCATTCGCTATATTGCGGCGCGAGGACGGGAATATAATGCACGCATAATGATGTGGTAAATGAATATATAATTAAGATATAAGAATACAACGAATAATGAAAAAAAAGAATAATAATAGTAATAATAGTAGTAATAGTAATAATAGTAATAATAGAAAGAATAACAATATAATTTTATATACATATGTATAGGTGACGGGGCTAGCCCCGTTCACACAAAAAATGACTTAGATTTATATAATTTATGTTCTCGAATAAGTTTTCTTGGTTATTCTCTATGTTAATTCTCTATGTTCTAGTATTACTTTGCAGCAAAAACCCATTATGTCAGAAGTCATCTCAACTGGATTCGAACCTAGAACCCTCTGATTACCAAGTGGGTACTCTATCAATTCAGCCATTGAAACTTTCACAATCAATTACTTTAAAACTAATATGTTAATGGCATTCAGTGATATTGTTACTGATTCTAAGTAAAACTATTTGTTACTAAGTAAATCAGCAAAATTTTAACTGACTCCTAGTAAAACTAATCTATTACTGACACCTACCTTTAAAAGAGGCATTTTTTCACTGAAATTTCAAATTAGTAATATTATCACTGATTCCCAGTAAACTTTTTTATCATTGAATCAATTAATAAAATTTTAATTGATTCTACTTAGAGAGTGCAGTTTGGCAATCTGTTTAGGAAAAATCAATTATGTACTAATAAACGATAAATATCGTACGTGCATAATATGTCATATTTTTTGATAATATAAACATATTGCAAAATTATTTAAAATTAAATATTATACAGACAATTAATTGTTGTGAAAAGTATAAATATTAAAATATTTCACATAAATGTTATTTTAATATTTATATAATTATTGTCGATTTAATAGTCAAATTTAAACATAATTTTATATATATTATGTATAAAGATTATATATATATATATATATATATATGTATATAATTTGCAAAAATAAAAAAAGATAGATAAATCACGCTCGCAATAACAATAAACAGATATAATGAAGGTCTAGACACGAGCAAAAGTGTGGTTGGAAAATATATTTATAAATATTTCAAAATTACATATTACAAATGAAACGTTTCGTCTCTTACTTGAGACCTCTTCAGTCGTAAAAGATTACAATAATAAAAAGAATGTAATAACTACATTAAGATAGATTGGTTCCAAAAAAAACGTACTCGAGGAGATACCTTTCATTCTTTTCACATCACCCTATTTGCCATAAAAAGGGTACCAAATATGGTCTTGTTGGCAGAGCCTTGCTCCTTTCACATCCGGATTTTCATTAAAAAAAACATCATCTTTTGCATTAATACTTTATTAGACAATGGTTATCCTTTGAATCTGATTTTTGAGAGTATTAGAACTAGAATTAAGAGGCTGCTTTTCACTGGAGTTAATTTTGATAAATAAGTCTGAATGCCCTGACGAGAGAAACCTTGTGGTTTTCCCGTATATCAAAGACATATTGGAGGCTATCAGGCGCTCGTTTAAAAATGTTGACTACTTAATCGGTTACAAATGTTTGAACAGACTCAGTAGTTTAATTGGAGTTCACAAGGACAACATCCCACGAGAATTCAATACGAATGTAGTCTATAAGCTAAATTGTAACGATTGCGGAGCATCATATGTGGGACAGTTACGCCCGGTAGACAGTTACGCACTAGAATTAACGAACATAGAAATAATATCCGTTCTGCACAATTGTCGATGGTCTCTAAACACATTTTAGATAACAATCACAATTTTAATTGGAATAACGTCTCGATTTTAGACCGTAAACCGAATTATTTTAGACAACTAACATCTGAGATGATTTACATCAATGAACAAACTCACGATCTAAACTTGATTAATGATTTAGAGATGCTTGATAGTTCGTATTTCGAATTATTAAACAAACTACAGCTTTAAATTGACAATCGATTTATCCATCTCTACCGAATCATCTTTGGTAGAGATAAACATATAAATGCCTGCCTCTGGTCTTCACGCATTAGTCGACTCATAACAACAATACATTGTGTCATATGAGTGTTTTCTAACGATTTACGTTGTTTGCGCTTTTTCTCTCTCTCAATTGTGTGTGCTCTTCCAGGACTCTTAACTATCACGACAACTGTATGGTTGTAATGTATAACTATCTTTTATTATTGTTGCACGGGCCTTGCGAGAGCGGAACCTATACATATTTTTAACAATAATAATTCCAACATCAGCGTGATTACCCTGATAGCCAAGTATGTTTTGCAAAATCATGTAACTTAATGCTGAGCTGAAGTTTTCAACTAGTTGCTGTGTATTTGCTGAAAACATGATGCATAGTCATACGTAATCGACAACACAAAGGCAAATTTGAGATAATTTGTGTCAGCAGATTCAGAGCAAACAAAGAGCAACTATTGCTCATTACGTTGTCAACAAAATGACTTTTATTCATAGAAAACTCTTTGCTTTGTCATTCGTTTTCGGCAACATAAGATCAACATGACAATAACAAAACAAGACACCGATGTCTGTACTTCTGTTGTATGGTTGGTAAAAACTGTTGACATATATTTATTCTATCTTGTAGCCCATTAAATGTCGAAAACGAATGACCATCTTTTAGAATAAGTAGACAAAAATAATTATATTTTAGTAAGGAACAAGTGGTCTCGCGGACTGAGTGCAGGAATTGCAAATATGAAGGTCTCAAGTTTAAATCCCACCTATCACCTTAAGATTTTTTTTGTGTCCAGTACCTTTCATCGAGTTAATCAGTTGATCGACGAACTAAATCACATCTCCAAAACTTAATTTGAGTGAAATCTCGAATTAATTAATTCCCCTTTCACAAAGCGATGTGTCAGTGAATATATATTTGTCCGTTTTCGATATATTGTATTTTTGCTGAAATTTATGACACGTGTTGTTGGCAACTTGTTGTCATGTTGCTCTTTATGTTAATGATAAATGTTGACAGCAAATACACAGAAAGTTGTCGGCAACACATGTTGAATACGTGTCATGTCAAACCAAAGACATGTTGAATACGTGTCATGTCAAACCAAAATACCTGACTCACCTTGTTCTAAATTTGCTGAAAACTCAAGCGTTTTGTTTTCGGCAACATGACAGCAAAAACACAGACAGGTGGCTATCAGGGTATGATTGTCTAATTAGTTTTATATTATCGGTACATTTTTTTCTATTTTTTATTGCATAATTTTTTTTATTATTGTAATCTTTTACGACTGAAGAGGTCTCAAGTAAGAGACGAAACGTTTCGTTTGTAATATGTAATTTTGAAATATTTGTAAATATATTTTCCAACCACACTTTTGCTCGTGTCTACCCTTACGAAAAAGAACTATTGCCGATTACATATAAATATTACTGGCAATTACACAAGAATA